CCAGGTGTTAATTATCACTAAATGAGAACTAAAGTTTATGGTTTTATGTAGTCAATGTGTACTCATTGTATATATTTCAAAGGTGACCTTGATAATATTTTAAGTTCGTTGAGAAGAGTTTGCAAACAGAGAAAAAAATAACGAACTTTTGTACTTTTTATAGAGAAATAAAATGGTTAAGATCATGAGTCAGTTGAAGCTAGATCACCATGGAAAACCTTGAATCTCTGGACTGCCCTTTCGTCCTATTGTGGGACTCAACAGTGTGAATCCACAGCCTCGACCCCTGCGAGATTCGAACCCAGGACCTATTGGTTTCGCGCGCGAGCACTTAACAACTAGACCACTGAGCCGGCATCCAACGGTGTTAATGTCTAACTTCAACTAATACACGAAATTGAGCGATACATCGACCATTGTCATCAGTGAGTTACTATCTCACAACAAACCCGATTGAACTCCATTGGTCACTGCTTCTTATTAGAACTCCAGTAAATACTTATTGAAGCCAATTACTAGTGAGCATATGTTGATTAATATCCACAAAACCCATCTGATAGAAATAAAAGGATTTATAAATGACACGGGTTTCAGTACTCTTAGAAGAAAACAAATATTCTGAATATTTATAAAATAACTTTCTGTATTTTTAAAGCTCGACTACTTCAGCCTGGTTCCTGGATCTTTATTTTACAGTTCATGTCCGCAATTATCAATAAAATGATCGTAAACTTTATAGTTTGAAACTAATGTGTACTACATATTGTCAAATTGTTTATATACATCACATTCTCATGTAGGATAATTAAAGAAAATACTCATTACTTTAGGTGGATTATAATTTCATAGTTAGGAGCAAAAAGATTATTTATAAGTGCAACATCACGAAAACGATTATTTACAAAGGCATGACTAAATGGAATATCAAATAAATATCAATCTCTTGAGACTGTGAGTAGTCAAATCAATACAAAGACCTGAAACAAAACAATGAATGTGTTCGTATGAAAATAAGCTTAAAATAAATATTATATAAACCAATTTTTGAAGATAGAAATTATATTTATTTACATTTTCTCTATTTTCACAATCTGTATGTATCACAATCCTACTGTAGCATACTCAGATCCCTATACTACTAGTTAAAATAACCATCGGAATAAACCGATATAACACTTGTGAAATAACTGAACTGCTCTCCTTTGAATGAAACAGACTCTGAAGATGTTAATCAGAATAGCAATGAATGCTCCTCATTTAAACCCTCTAGCTTGGGGAATTCAACACCACTAACATTAAATTGTAATATAAAATACCATTATTAACTAATCCATTTGCATAATTCAATGCAATTACATAGTTCTGCAGAAATATTAAATACATTCTGACAATATTTGGACAAATACATTACAAAAACCTGTACACATCCTAACTAAGTGCAGGGAAAATCTGTATGTAATTTAAGATTTATGCAAATAGTATTGTTGCAATAATTTACCTTCGATAACAGGAAATCTAGAAATTATAAACTGAGTAAATGATTAAAGTACTATGAAGTTTGTTTACTTTTTAAAATTTCAACAGTATACGGTCTTTCTACAAAAAGAAAACTGCCCCTTAGAAATACAATCATGATAACGTTGTGTTAAATGGACAGTTCTACTTTCTGAATGGATGCACCAAACTATTATTATTATTATTATTACTATGAGATGTTACAGAAGGGGAAGAAAGAAGGGTACACAAAACAAACAACATTTGACATAAACCAACATTTCATAATAAAAAGACTCAGATAGTTAAATCCTCTACCTCATTTATATCACCCCTTACTGTAAATGAAAAATTTAACAGAAGCCGCAAATTTTATTGACCTTCTAACCCAATTGTGTAAAAATCGCAAGTTTATAACTAACCAATCAAAACATTTACTGATTAAGTTTGTAAGTAAGTCTCTATCCTAAGTCATTCATTTTGATGAGAATTTGTTATCTAGTTTATTGCCACATATTATTCATATAATTATGTTCCGAAAAATTTTTTTCACCCTGATTTACAAATTTCAGACATTACTAATAACTATTAACAACATACAGTCGGTTAATAGAATATTTTTTGTTGTTCACCACCTTGTAATCTTATTTGTTGATTTAAACCAACATACCATTAGGTTTACATCTACTCATTTTAGTTTTATCGACAGAAGCATCTTAATAAAAGGAGGCAACAAATAATTTCATATAAAAGGCATCAGTTTAATTCTCGTAATATATTATAGGTAAATTCTGCTAAAAAATCACGTAAGTTGTATAATTCTATTAAAATATATATTATTTTAAGTGATAAGTTATACTGTTAATTCTGAATGAACTTCGGCTCCTTTATAGTATTCAGTGTAGAAATAAAGGTTTCTATTGAAAATAAATAATTACTGAACTGTTTGTATTTAATAGTTAATAAATAATAATCTTTTAATTAAACAGTAACTCTAAGAACGATATCTTACAGTTACACATCGACACCTTAGTAAGTACTACATTGTTCATCGATCTAAGAGATCATTGTTTATAAGATGTAGATTCAGTTTGCTTGATTATTCAAACAGTAGAATCAATAGTTTTAAACTTTGTGTCATTTGTGCGCTTCGTCAAAAAACTTTCCCAGATATCTAATTATATGACGTTATGTATAATGTCAAATGAATTTCGTATGATCTCAATAAAACGGATAGCATTAACATTGTTGTCATTCGTAAAAATTTTCGATGAGGTTAGGATTTAATAGATAACACTTGGTGTATTAGATCTCCGAATGGATGCCTCGTCTTGGATATAGTTATAAGTCTCTGTTTAAACAACTTCTCGGCTAGTCCTTAATACCATGAATATCATGTCCTGGATTCCTATACTAGTCATTATTCAAAAATTTAAGTTTTCTTAGTAAAAAGACAGTTTCGACAGTAATGACAAAATTAGATTCTGAAGAGTTTAGCAATCAATCAAACTTACCACTACGAATGGTTAAAAGACAATATTTCATTCCAGAAAACCAGACTAAGTAATGGGATACGAAATAAATAAATATACCTAATTACCACATACATTACTTCAAATCCATAAATCTTCGATACAAACAAACAAATTTAACACAATGTTTAACTCAACATTCGAAAAATTATCTACTCTGATAACATATATTTAAAGAAAGAGAAATAAAAATCGATCCATATTTTGCAAGATTCTATAGCTAATTACTGACGAGTCCCATATTAGGACGAAACAGTCGTCCAGTGCTTCCAAGTTTTCCGTGGTAGTCTAGCTTCAATTGACTCATAACTTCAACTATTAAATTATTATAATATCCACAAGACCCCTCTCTGATTATAATTGAATTACATAAGATTTGGGAGAACAAGTAGTCTAGCGACTATTTTTTAAAATTATATTTACTTAATTATTTCAATCGATTTTTATAAATTCAAGGTTACTGACTATTTTGCTGACATTTTTGTTTGTGTTAAATTGGACCGATGCCATGACAACATATTAGTTTATTGATCAATTATTTAAGATTATATGAACAGATCAAAAATATTATATATATATACATATATGGGCGGGTAAATCAATTAATTGTCCAGTCATTTGATAAGTTTTAATGACTGCATTGACCAAATATTTTGTGTCATTTTCGTTGTTATTTTCACCAATTAGACATAGACAATGTTTCTCATTTTTATGACTGTTCATTTTAGATCATGGTATCCCATTGCTAGGTTAGGCTGAAAATTGACCTTATTTGACTCTTGATCCATATACACTGTTATAGCCTGTACCATTTGACCTTGGATCATTTTTGACCAATAAAATGAGGCTTTTGTCTGACTAATCAATAGAAAGACTGAAAAATTTTCATCCCTGATCTTTTAAGATCGTATTACTGAATGGAGATTAGGTGAAGGAAAAATTTAATATACTGGTCATTTGTTCATTTAGTCACTTTAAAATGAATATTAGTGGTTGAATATATGAATAAATGTTTGGAATTTAGTAAGTTTGGATCTTGTGATGTAGACTGCTTTAATAATACACAATTGACAACTGGAATAATTTAGAAATGGATTAATAAAAATGTACAGAAACTATGACAATGGACTACTGTTTTTACATTCATCGCTTCCAGCTATGATTATTGAGCATCATGAAACTTTGTAAATTAAAGTATAACATTCATTTTATGCTTTTTTAGTATAAAATATTTTAATTGCTTATTATAAATGATAAGACAATCGTTTTTATATAAGGTATACTGGGATACCAACATATAGGTTATTGAGTCTGTCAGGTTTCGAACGCTATTAGTAACAACAGAATTTCTTGACTAACAACGTCTCTTCTACAACTAAGTGGTGGTGATGTTTTTAATTAAGTTTACTCCCACTAACTAAGAGGTGAATTCTGAAATAATACTCCAAACATTGTATGTCACACTCAATAAAGTTTGACAAGTTGACAATAACATTGCACTCAATTCTTCCTCTGACGAACTAGATCCAATAAAATTACTGGGTTAACAAAATTGTCTGATCTGTTTTACTCAAATGTTTTGGATAAAACTAACTTTTATCTCTCGGTTGACCATCTGTTAATCTTATATTACTAGCAAAATAATGGTTTGTCCTAATTATTTTATTGATGGATCAAATGTAAAACACACTAGGGCTATATGAAACTCATTTACTTAACTCTGTATCTATACATTTCCAAGCACTCATGTTTCAACTATTCTGATAGGCATGATAAATCCATAAGACCACTTCACCAGAATTTTTTGCGTATTTTTGGCTGCTTTTACAAAAAAAATATATATTCCGATAAAACTTTCCTTTGGACAAACACATTTAAACAGTCTTTCTTTTCGGTAACTTGTAATATTTTAATATTGAAGTAATTTTGCATGACTAAGTTCTATCCAAACTACTTTCGTGTAATTTACAGAGAATGGAACACAAGATTAGTACAACTTCCACATCATACAAACTTGAGCGTAAATGGAGCCTGGTTAATGCCTTGGCAAAGGAATTGGCTGATATAGGAGATGAAATTAATGGAAGATTTTCGTATCCTCTTGATAGTCTATCCTATTCAAACGAATTGGCCGTGATGAAAACATTTTCAAATTCACCTGGGACATTCCAACATTCTGATTATCTGAGTTGTAAAGTAAGTTGATGTGGTTTACATAAATAATACTGTTAATGTTTTGACTATATACTGATTAAAAATATAACCCACTAAATAAAAGTAGAATGTTTAGCTAAATAACTCACAATTTATCCATCGATTACCCAATAGTTATCAAAATTTTTCATGGTTTCATTACATTGCTCACCTTTGATTTTAATAGTACATCTATCGTAATCCATTTAGCCTAGAATGTATACTTATTTTACTTTGACACAAACTGTACGGTCAGTTATCAATATTTTTATTTAACTTAACTGTACTAGATACAAATATTCTCAAAGCTTGTCCTTTGAGTTAAATTCATCAGGCTAGCTACCCTGTTTAAAAAAATAACTGATTTTTTCTGAGCTGTATGTATTGGGGTTTAATGATTCATATAGCCAAATGGCCCGTTTTGAAAGTACATTTTGTCACATACAATATTGCTATTGAAGGCTGGATTGTGAAGATCGAACCATTATAAACCAGCAATCCAAGGTTTTCAGTGGTTCATCAGCAGATATAACACTATGAATAAAACTAGTTTCAATGATGACCTGTTTTCACAAATTCTTTATCCTTGTGATTAGTTTGTATTTCCTAGTCAATAGCTTCTTAATTACGTCAAGAAATGTTTTTGAAAAGCCACAAACTATAGAGTTCAGTCAGTAATACTGTAGTGAACAAGAACACGGGTGGGGACAATCGACTGTATTTGGCACAAAAATTACAGACTATCTCAATATAATGTGAATACCATAAAGTCAATCGTCAATTTGCAAAATATCATTCCATCATATCAAACTGTACTGTTCCCGTTGCAAACACTAATCCATTGTCTCCCATTCCATTGTACATGCGTTTTCTTACAATTGCATTGTGTTCTTGCTCTTCCTTTCTTGATCTTCGCCATCTTCTGCTGCCGGACATTACGTTCTTTAACGCACGTTATATACTACTTATATCAATATAAGTAGGTCACACCACAATACTACTAAATGATCGTTGTCCAATGTTGCCGAATTAACTAAAACTAGAAAGATAGACTACCAGATTCTGACTCAATTATCTAAAAGATATCATGCTTCCGGAGAAAATGTGAACTTAAAGATTCAATTTAAAGTGGGCTAACATATGTAGACTACTGAAGATTCACAAACTAGTGTGAAACAACTGTTCAATACTTCCGTGATTCTGTTAGTCTGTGACAAAGTTAACTGCACGTGTTATAATAATGCTTTAGTGATTCATGACAGTCAACTTCATTTAGTTCATGTCATCACTATCCGTTCTAATGTCCATTTAACTGGAACTAGCATAAAATCAATCGTGTCTTACAAATCTTATTTTGGTATTTTTGAATAATCTATTAAGATGAAGATTATCAGAACTATGTGATATGTTAGTACACTGTATTTCAAAGAATCTGACCACACATATACTTGTTAAGAACATCTGTACATGAAAAACTAAAAAATCAACTAGATGAATAGATAAATGACTGATTCATTAGTTCAATAGAAATGTGTTTGCACAAAATACTAAAAAAATTCGTGAAGATGACATACGACAATAATTGATTTTGAGCCGGCATCCAACGGTGTTAATGTCTGACTTCAATCGATTCATGATATGGCTCAACCCTTCATCCATTGTCTGAGGTGCCAGATTATTGGTCTAGAGGTCAAGTGTTCACATGCGAGGCCGAAGGTCTTGTGTTCGGGACCGTGGATGTGCACTTTTGAGAAGTCCCATACTAGAACGAAATAGCTGACCAATCCTTTCAGAGTTTCAATGGTGGTCTAGCTTAGATCGACTGATGAATCCAACTATTAAAATTACTATACTCTCTACAAATCCCCATTCTGATAATTAAACATAAATAAATTCATATTTTCACATGAATTGTAAAGTGAATAAAATATCAACAAGGTACAAGAAACAATAAGAATTGTTTATTAGATTATTGAATGAAATCAATTTTAAATTCATACAATCAGTTTGTCAGAAATCTTATGTCTGAATAAAAAATCTTAATTTCGGGTTGATTTTTTCATTTAAAAATACATGTAATTAACATGGTAGCTAACAGTAGGCTGTCAGAACATAGTTTCTACCATTATGTAGACACTTGAAAATTCAGTAAACTAATTAAATAAACTGTATATGAGTTTATATTTTTACTCAGCATGTAACAGGGATTTGCATGATCCCCTAACTTCTACATATGAGAATAAAAATCTTATCCAAAAATCAAATCTTACTATAAAATAAAATTTTAATACAATGTTAATATTATGTAGCTTGTAATGATAAAATACGCTTAAAGTCAAATCCAAATTATTTTAATAACTGATTTGTTTGCCCACGGAATAGTTACTCTCAAAGTTTATGTAATGAAACAATGCACCCTGCTGATAGTTAAACTTTAATTTTATTCATCAAAACATCTGAGAGTAGTCTAGACTATGTCAATACTTAATAAAAAGCTTCACTTACAATTTATTATATTCCTATTTCTAAGTCTATCTAAAACATGTAATGAAAATAGTGTCGAGTGTAAACTATTCTGCGTGTTCAAATTCTTTTGAATATCATATAAATTTCTATGATTTAACTAGTGTTCAGTTAATTGATTAGTTATAATCTTTGGGATTCAGTGATAGTTGATCTCATGATTAGTAATTTTACTTATCTGTGATTAATCGATAATTGTTACATAATTAAATTTGATTTTTATGAAATAAAAACATTGCTACTTTATGTATCTGTTCAAAATACACGTATACTAAACAAGAACGATTATTCACAGTTCGTAACACCAGAAGATTCAAATAACCCTTAAGAACAAATAAGAACTTATTAATCTAGTTTTAGAACTCCATCTATTTTTAACTAAGTGAGCTAAAGTTAGTTATCATTTCTAGTTTTGACAATGATTTTTTTCTTTATAGTATTAAGTCACGCTTAATATCATCAAAAAGGAAAAACTTAGGGAGAAAAATGAATGAAGAAAAACAATAGCAATCTATAATGTTTAAAAAAACGTCTTATTTCCAGTTTTTAGACATAAAACGAAAGAATAAACATTAATCAGTGGTCTAGAGGTTAAGCGTTCGCAAGCGAGACTCACAGGTCCTTGGTTCGAATCTCGTGGGGCGGGGTCGTGGATATGCACTGCTGAGGAGTTCCATACTAGGACGAAACAGCCGTCCAGTGCTTCCAGGTTTTCCACAGTGGTCTGGCTTCAATCGACTCAGCAATTCAACTATAAAATGATCAGGTTATTGGATTTCAAATAGATTTAGTCATATTTAAACTTCTCATGTAACAAACTGCTTGATAGCTAAAGTTGATGAATAATGACCTGTTGTTTGCTTTTCTTACAGATTGGATTCAATTCAAAAGGTGAAGCTATTCGTTTATTTTACTATGCTACACCTGTACTGGTTATAGCCTACTTGTTCTATCGAAGAATCAGTTAAAATAGTACCTCACCTGGATGACATTACACAGATTGTATTATTTAAACTAACAATCAGATATCAGATGTCTACTCTTATCCACTTAACCAAAAGGAATTTATTCAGCAAGATGAAAACAATTCCCGAATTCTCAGATTCAGAATTTATTAATCAAATGGAATATCAAGCCATGTTAAATTTGTACACATGAGAAGCCTAGATACTGTATACATGGGAACTTGGTTCGTTAATCATCAAATCGTGAATTATGCTACTTGGATATTCGTATGAATCGAATAGTGCTTCTAATTAACAACAAACCTAAAAGTTGAATTCTAATGAGGCACCGAAACAGCTAGAACCGGATACCAACTCCATGTATATTTTCATTGTATATAAAAACCTTATTTTCTGACTTGCCGTAGTATATTTTTTCCAAATAAATGTCTAACAATGATTCATGGATTCTTTCCATAAAAAATGATACTAGTGAAAAAAATCAAGGGTTTTTAAATGTTTTTCTAAATTTTATTACATATATACTTCGTGGATGCGCATTATTGAGGAGTCCCACAATATGACGAAGCGGCCATCCAGTGCTTCCAGGTTTCCAATGGTGGTCTAGCTTCAACTGACTCATGATTTCAACTATTGAAAGTACATGTATACTTCTCGATAAAAGTTATCCTGTAACATATTAATCTTAGTATAAATGAAAAAAGGGAATTTATAATTACTTATATTCATTGTTCAACCCCCCCCCCGCGAATTCAGAGTTTTACAAATCAGATTATTCTTAAGATAATTTCCATAGTAAAGTAAAATTTGTTTTAAAAATGTTTCACCTTATCTTAAGGGATTTTAGTATTCTTTATGATGGTGAATATTGGATGAAGTCGATCAAAGATTAAGAGTGATATCAATTGCTGAGAATCAACTGAAATATTCGATAAGTTGGATAATGAAAGCCATTATAACAGAGGATGAGTTGTTATAATAACACTACTGCTTTTTTCAGCGCTAAGAACTTTTCGTTTGATGTTGAAGAAGACTCGTGAAGGTATATACCTAGGGGTTAAATCATAATTCTGTTTTATCTCAATGGCATCCCATAGTTTTACGATCTCATTAAATTTGACAGAGCAGTTGTCCACGAAGATGAAACAAAACATTAGTAATACTGTTACTTGTTGAAAAATCTTACTAAATAGCGGGTTATTTTATCGATTCTTAGACTTATTAAAGAAATATCTAGAATTATGTAGCGTTAAACTTCCAGGGGTTTCACTCCAACTCTGTGATTACTCCTTACTTTTATTTCATAATGCACATAAGGCCGAAGCGCCCAGGTAATTAATTTGTCCCTACAAATACAGCAGTAAGCAATAAGAAAGAATATTATTCGGCAGTAATTACCACAAGAGAAACGGCTAGAAACGTTGCATCACTAATGTGTTTGTTAACCAATGAACTGCCGGTAAAATACGAACTTCAACGATTAAGTGGTTATGCCTTTTATGTTGATCAGCGAATTTCGATAAGAGAAAGACCAATTCATTTCAACCGTCTATAAAGCGGTTGTTGAAAAGTCCGAATATTTCTTAGAGTTGACGCTCACAAATAGCTAATTGTAAATGAACAACATTTTTGACTAAGCACTATTCGAAAATAGCTAAGTGATTGCTCCTCCCTCTACGCTACGAAATATTATTTCGAATAAACAACTACAGTGTGATAAGTTTGCACAAAAAATCAACAAAGACAAGAATAAGTATTTTTTGTCTAGGATTATCTATAACTAAAAAAGGAGATTTATAACTGATCAATCACTGAGTATTGATCACTCAGTTGCAATTATCTTAATTCTGCTCAACGTCCGTCGCCACCCAAACGGTTTATTGGTAATGTCTCAGACTGTGAATTTGTATGATACAGAGAGAGTGAGCTTCCACAAGATTACAAGTGCACCTCGTTGATGAGTACCAAATAGAGAAAAACTTATGTTAGCGGTTTCGGGACAACCACTTAAAACCACCTAACTAAAAGGAGCTTTACTTGTTTCTTTGTGGACTGTTTGCTAAATAAAGCGGGAAATAAGTGAAAGCATTCAGACGTAGTGTTAACATCATTCCAAGAATAAACGCAATTTAAGAAGAAAAAATATGGGATTGTTTTAAGTAAAATATGTTCATTGCCGTCAGGTGTTGCGCAAAAGACTATGGAAAAATCTTTAGTAAAAACTTAGCTATATGGATAGTTAATTGTTTCAAACTATAATCGAGAAAGTTGTCCTTAGTTTACTGAAGAAAGTAAAACAAATAACGTATTGCAAGATAACGATATACCCATAAGTAATCCAGAAAGATTCAAAAACGATAATGCTCAGTATTTTAAAGAGTGATGAATTATAATATTCTAAAAGCAAGTTGTCAGTCTCTTACTTTAGTATTTATTAGAAATTCAACAGTTCCAACTGACTGATATCAAAAATTTGAAATGATGATTTGCAGCCGGTGTCGTTGCAGTCACAAGAAAAGCCATCATGATGAGCTGATTTAACACTTATGGAATGAATAAACAGCTATCTTCTACATGAAGTAAACCCTGATAATGTCCAAAACAACGATGAAAATTCGTCGATTAAGCAATCTGTGTCAGAGAACTTGATAACATCATAGTGTCGAACGTATACTGATCATCATATCTTATTGAATGGTAACCTGTAATTCTGTCGGTATAGATCACTCAGTTTACGTAAAAATTTTACGATACCTGAAAGAGTTTATACAGATTATGGAATTAGGAATTTTCAGCTACTCTTTATGGTTAGAAATATAACAACTCAACAAAAACTATTTGACGCCTATAAGAACTAGCAACCACACTATTACAGTCCTTGTTTATGAGTTTAAGTGCATTTCCAACTGTTCTATTTAGTTCTACAGAGTAATAATCATCATTCTTAGTTTGTTTTTAATGTTTTCCTTTTGATTAAACCAATCTTTTTCTTCACTAAATCACATCATTATACTTAGCTGAATTTCGAATCCGATGAAGTGAATAATATATGAACTGAGAAGTTAAAGTCCCTTAAGTTCAGTATATTTCTTTATTTTACGGTTTTCAAGACTAAATGCTTTCTTCTAAGTTGCAGTGTAACGAACGAGAACGTAGGTGAGAACAACCAATTGTATCGCAACTCAGAATTACATAGTTCTCTAGTCAACTATGTAAACGACACGTTCAATACTTCATTTATAAATTATCTATCAATTGTCTTAAACTTAATTGTTCCTTCATTTCCGTAACAATTACTATCTGGTCCCATTCTCTTCGATCTGATCTTCCTAACTTTCTGCCTCCAGGTATTCCATTTCTGACTGGTGTTATATGCTACTTATGTCGACATAAGTAGCACACACCACAACAGTATTATTTCAAAAATTTCGCAAATTATTGTGAGATAGTTAAAAGCTTTATGCTATCTGCTTCTAGTTTCTATTTCCAGATTGTCTTAAGTTAAGTCTTCTACTATTGTTGATTATTGTGTACTTGGCAGGTTGTTAGCTCATCTTTTCTTTTGTCGTTGTCATTCTCAGCTCTCCTCACTCGCGGTACTCGTTGTGCTCCCCAAGTACCTTTTGACTAGATGCAAATCTCCATATATTCATACAAACAGAAAAGGTTATGTTCTAGATATTTACTTTTAGATAATTTAAAATACTTTATTATCACTGACTCCATATTAATGCACAAAGTTCAGTGATACAAATACTTTGACGTATTATAATTTCCTTTGACTTAATATGTTAATTTTTATTTATCAGTTAAGGATTGTGGACATTGTTGAGCTTAGATTGATATCGTGAATGAATCAATGCTAGACCACCATTTAAAACCTGGAAGCACTAGTACGGGTATCCTCAGAAGTGTGCATCTACGATCCTGCACATGGAACTCAAACCCAACACCTTCAGTCTCGCTCGCGAACGCTTAACCTCTGGACCACTGACCCAGAATCAGACGATGTGAATGTCTAGCTTCAACCAATCCACCATATTGCGTAACCGTCCTCCATTGTCTTCATTGAGTAACTGCCTCACAACAGACATGAATAAACTTCACTGGTCATGATTTCTCACTAGAACTTCAGGAAATCCATCTTGAAGTTAATCACTAGTGAGCACATGATAATTATCAGTAAAGGGTTGTGAAGATTGCTGAGCTTAGATTGATATTATGAATGCATGAAAGTTAGACCACCATAAGTAAATATCACGAACAACTTTTCTTCATAATTCTCTTAATTCTAGGTCATAATAGAAGATCAAGTGAATATTTTGGTCATAGTTCTAAGTGACTATTTATTACATCACTGTTCTTTATTTTCATAAAACTACTTACTACATGTGGTTGATGAAAATCCTAATAATTGTGAGTAATTATAAGGTAAAAGATCCTACTTATTAATACAGGTTGGGTATATTTGATTGGATCAATCACGTATTATTTGTCGATTATTTCGTTCAACTTTTGTCCAGTATTTGAGCAAGGTAGAGTGACAAAATTTCTATCTGTCTATATATTGTTGTGATTATCTTAGTGGATAATGGGTTGGTGTTTGAAGCTATAGGTATTGGATTCAAGTCTTAACTTGAATATCAAACACTAAGATACAGGTATATCAACACGACGAGCGAAAAACAAGACAGAAAACGCGCCCTAGACTCCACTATCATACACAATCAAATTTTACCGAACCATGTAGTTATTTTAGCTTATTTTTCTGTCTGGCTTTGTCAACTCCCTTATATTAATTTTCGGAAATATGGCTCAGATTAAGAGAATTATTCAGATCTATTGAGCTTCGATTTAAATCTGAATAAGGTTTGTTTAGAATGATTTCGAAATCTTGAACGATCACAAAGTTATGAAAATAGAAAGTCATATGACAAATATTTGTCAGTCACACAATGTGTGACTATCTCTTTGAGAAAACAATTCTCTCTTAACAAATTTAA